AAAAAAAAAAAAAAAAAAAAACAAAAAAACATAAAAAAAAAAAAAAAGAATTGAAATCATTCTCTGGTTGCTTACTTTTGGTACAACCAGAAACAGTGGGTTACTGAATTATGGCAGGCTGTGACTGTCTTGGGTGTCAGCTTAACATTCCATAGGTGGGGGGTTAGTTTCATATCCTGCAATACAAAGCATACTACATGGCGATTTGGAATTACAGTCCTGCATTTAATGTGTCTTGGATACTTTAAATGGCTTCTATTTCCATGTTTTTAGTAGACTTGTTTCCTAAGGAAAGCTACTTCCTAATTGCTGCCCTGTCAGAGTCGTGTGCACTCTGTAACATCTTTGGTAGTGGAAGTCCATTTGGCCTCATTTTGTTAATGTGCTATGAAAGATCAAAAAGTTGAATATCTAGGGTATGTGATACAAAACTGTGAATTGGTGGGACTTAACACTTTCTCAGCATTTGAAGATACTGCTACTTAATCCTCTTACAGAAAATTTGCCTCTAAACTTGAAGCTGGGAATTCACTGGAATAACTGAAAAATACATGGCTTTTTTTGGTATGTGTGTTAAGAATTATGTACAAAGTGAATCACATGTACTGACCTTCAACATGACCAATAAAATCTCAAATATTGAAGAAAAAAAAGAAACATCTAGAGGACAAAAGTTTACCACTCAAGGCTCTCCTCGTCATGGACAATGCTTCTGCTTACCCACAAGACTCGAAAGAACTAGCTGAAGAATTCTCACGGCTCTCAGTTGAGCTCTTCTCACCTAATACAAGTCCTCCACTGTAACTAGATATACATTTAACCCTTAAGGAGTTCTGGAAGGAACATTACAACATCCTCTCCTGTGTGTGGCTCATTGAGAAGCCCTGAGCCAATGTGAAGAATACTAAGATCTGCCTGGAAGAAAGCATGACCTAAAGTTAGACAGCACAGAAACCTCAAAGACTGTGTAGAAGAGACTCTGAGTCTTCAGTTGGCCCTGTGGTTGGTAACACTGATGAGTCAGTCCACAGGCCTGCAGGCAAACAGTGGTGATGCTGAGGAACTGTTGGAGAAGTGCTTGGGGGCACTGTCTACAGAGGCTTCAATGACTTCTGGATGAGTAATAGAGAATGGCAGCTGAGGAGCTCCCTGAAGAGGGAAAGTATCAACAGTCAGCACAGCAGAGTTCTTCTGAAATAAAGGAAATTTTGGAAAAAAAAAATACAGAGCTAAAAACACACATAGAGAACCCCCCACCCAGATAAAGTCAATCATTGCATTCACTTGCTTAATGTCCTACTACAGAACAGTGTTAGAGAAAAGAAAGAAACCTTATTTTAGTTAAACTACTTCTGAAAAAGTTGAGACCTAGTGAGCCAGAAGCAGGTCCTGGTGAGCTGCAGATTGTCGCAAGGAGACAAAGGGCACCAGAAAGCCAGATTCCTGATGTTCTCATGGAAGTGGACTCTCCTTCAAAACAGTAACACTTTCCCTTTTATCCTCCTCTCCTGCAAGCCACAGATGTCAATTTCAATGTTGCGTACAGTATGGACTTGTTTTTCTGGTAAAGTAGGCAAATACATTAGGAAAATGATTGGTGTTTCTGGTAAATTATGCACATTATATAACCCTTTTTATTATGAAAAAGGTTAGGTAAGGAAGGGGTGCTCTGGGAGGTTTGGCATGCATTATGGAGCTCTTATGATTTCTTATGGGAAACATCATCTTAACTTACAACCAATTTGAGTTATAACCAGCCTACACAAAGGAAGTGAGCTCCATAGTCAAGGGTCTGCTGCGTTAGAAAAGGAAGAATTTTACTAAATGTTTGGCAAAACATGCGTGGAGAATGGAGATAAGACTACTGGAAATAAATATTTTGGAGGGGGAGTGCTGTTACTATTTCTTTATCTACTTGGGTTTTCTACTTTTTTACTTAAATCTCTAAAAGTGAAAATTTGGGTGAATAAATACTTTCTAGAAAAACACAAACAAAACTACCCCCAAGATAGAGAGAAAAATGAAACGGGGAAAGCAGTCAAGGAGCAACAGTTCTCCCAGAAAGGGGAATAAGCAACTTAAGCCAAACTTGTAAGGAACGGCGCTTATTGGCTATGTGAATTGTCCCGGAGCCCAGGGAAAGGAGGGATGCTCCCAAACTGCTACTGACCACATCCCAACAGCAAGAGCATGACCATGCTACGCGGGTGGGAAGAAGCCAGCAGAGGGGCTCCACACGGCGCCACTGCCCGCGCACTTCATCGCGACACCTACCGAGCCAGCTCCCTCGGGTGGCGGCACATTAGAAAAGCCCCACGGTCCCTCCGTGGAGGCCCACACAAGCTCCATGGGCTAGAACACCAAGGCCCAACGGAAGTCTTAAAAAGTGAGGCACTAGCACCACTAGTATTTCACATTGTTTTAAAAAATTAGCTACAATTAGACAAATGACAACACAAAAGGTATAAAATTGGAAAGAAGTGAGCAAATTTATCAAGTTAGAGATGACAATCCAAGAGAATTCTGTAATAACTCAGAATCAAATATGCCAAAACCAAAGCTGTATTATGTGTAAACAACCACTAATTTTAAAAATGTAATCAAAGAAAAGATCCCACTTCTACAATAGCAATTATAGAACTACCCTGTAATAATTTTCTCAACTTGGAGCTCTACTACATATATTACAACCAAATAAATTATAGAGGACTCAAAGAATTAGGGATAATTAAACTGTAAAAATATTCAGAATAGGAAGGTCTTTCTAAACATCAGAAAACTCAGAAGCCAGAGAGGGAGGGAGGGAGGGAGGGAGGGAGGGAGAGAGATTTCTTTTTTTTGGGCAGAACTGGGGATTGAACTCAGGCCCTTATTCTGCTGAGCTATCTCCCCAGCCCCAAGAGAGAGATTTCTAACTGTATATAAGCACTTAACTTTTTCTCATATGGGAAAAATCATAAAGCAAATGCTAAACCAGGGGAAATGTCTACAACAGAGAGTTATTTTCTTATAAAGTCTTACAAATTAATCGTAAGGACTGGCAACTCATTATTAAAATGAGAGAAAAAAATTCACAGAAAAAAGGACTGATGGCTCTTAAATCTGAGTAAGATGTTCAAATTTACTGGTAATTAAGAGAAATTATACAAAACCTGCAATGTACCATCACTTGTCAACTCTCCACTCTGCAGAGTCAAGCATTCGGAGTGTACTCTGAGGGCACTGCCAGGCACTAAGGCCTGGGTAGATACGATGAAATATATCTGATGCAGGCACAAGTCTTTCTTTCATGAGTAATTTGGGAATACCCAGAAAAAGTAAGCCATACACTTCACTTTTAATCTAGTTGTTCCACCTCCAGGACTTTATCTAACATGCATCTATTCTGCACAGTACTGATTTTAGCGGCAAACCATGGTGCCTCTATTTCAGAAAACATGCAGATCCATCCATGGCAAAAGCTGGGTAAAATGTAACATTAGTCCTTTTAAATGCACAGCTGAGCTCACAAAGGGTATAGCTCTCCAGGGAACCACTGTACTGCAGAGGCAGAGCACTCACGTCTGGGGGCTGGAGGGAAGCTGCTGGCAGGGCCCAGCTCCAGCCCAGTGGGCTTCAGTGTGCCCAGAACGCAGGGGTGGGAGCCTGCACAGGGAGCTGAGGCAGGGTGTTCTTTTTTTTTTATTTTATTTTATTTTATTTATTTATTTATTTATGTGTGTGTGTGTGTGTGTGTGTGTGTGTG